GCCACAGTGAGGCATCTTGCACCTGTGGCCACCGTGACTTGGGTTCAGCTCCCATCAGTTGTTAACATCTTGCCACAGTGAGGCATCTTGCACCTTTGGCTGCCGTGACTTGGGTTCAGGTCCCACTAACATCAGTTGTTAACAACATGCCACAGTGATCCATCCCGCACCTGTGGCCACCGTGACTTGGGTTCAGGTCCCACTAACATCAGTTGTTAACACCTTGCCACAGTGAAGCATCCTGCACCTGTAGCTGCCTTGATCTGGCTACAGATTCCATCAGAGCCACTTGTGTGTCCAAGGTGCACATCTATGTTTGAATGCATCTTTTTGTTTTTAATTTCCTTGGTAGATTCGTTCATTTTCTAAACCTTAACTTTGGAAAGTATATGTAAACCTTAACTTCGGAAAGTATATGCATAGAATACATACTGTATAGTTGTGGGTTACTGAAGAATTTGAAGCTGTGATGATTAATATGTGACAGTCTTAACAAATTGGAACAATTGTGAAGATAAACTTTAAAAAGTGACACAATTTCCCAGTTTTGGTAGAAAAAATTAATAATGGCAGGGAATGGAAACCCACAAGAGTCCTTTAAGTCCACTCAGACTGACATCAAGAGTCAGCCAACGTTATGTTAAGCCACTCTACTAAATGTCAAAAATCTTCAATCTCTAGCCTGAAAAGGTTCAGAAGTTCTTTCCGGCAGATTTACGTCTGCTGCCAACTGGTTATTTGGACCCCAATGCTAGACCTTCAACTTGGAGTGTGGCCCGCGATAATGCCAGTGTTTGTGTATACATGTATATATCAAACAGTTTGGTGGAGAAAAAAAAAATTGTGTGGGTTGCATCGTCATTTGTTTGTTGATGACACACTGTGTGCGTACTGCACAGAAAGAGGGAAACATTTCTGTTGGCTGTGTAATAAGGGGCCATATTGATTTTAGAGTGGCGGTAATTACCGGTACGTGGGGGAGTTGGGATGGGTTGCATGGATACCCTCGCAAGGTGAAGACATTATCTGCCCTAAGCCTCGGCCCACGCATCATATCAGCCTTTCACAAGTGTCTCCCGACATGTTGTAAGGGGGAAGGGGGGATGACAGGAGGACAGACGCCCAGCGTGCGTAAGCTGTAACATTTGAGCTTTGCCAATTACAAGGCAAAACTTGCGCAACAAGATGGGTGTTTGGTGATCCGCGTCAGCGACTCTGTGGAGGCGTGGGAAGTGCAAGGTGAATCAGAAGGTGCAGACGAGAAAATTAAGAGGCGATAACAGTGACGAAGGCCATTAGAAATTGATTTGGAAATGTTTTTGAACCATCCAAAGCGGAAACTTGCAAAGTGCACGTATCTGTTGTAAACAAGAAAATTGTGCAAGGTGAGGTACAGGTTTGGGTGTGATAGCTGGAATGATAGAAAAGCAGACACAGTGACCTACAGGTGTCTGGTTCATGTATCTGGTATCTTTTCTTGGCAGGTGCTACCAATTATTCATACAATTTTTTTAAATGTTCAGTTCACTCGTGAATTTTGTAACAAAATTATTGTCTTTGAAATCATCTTCCCACTCACCACATTGTGATTCAGGTATTAAGTTTTTTATTAGCAGTAAGCATTTCTGCAACTTTTGACGCTAAATATATTGAAGAAATAAGACATTTGATGTACATGTATAGATAATTGTAAAGTCCTTGACACAGACGTAGGCAAAATGAGCCTATAAAGCTCAAAAGTGAAGTACTTTTGCTCTCGTTAATTCTATTCTAACAGCGGAATATACTTTGTAAAACATCAGAAATCAAACTGAAATTATTCAACAAAAATACGGTAGCCGTTGGGATTTACTTGAGTAGTGTCTTGTCAAGCAACTTGACCTTTGGCATCTAGTGGCTCAAGAATCGAGCAACCTCAGTGTACGTGGAGTCACGGGAGGCTGGAGCGTTTATTATTGTTTCATAGTATTGCAATAATTGAGCCGGACTGTATCAGTGCTAGTGTGGAACTAATTAATATCGGTCTTGTGTAGCAACTCTGAGGTGAGAATGTACATGGAGAGTGTAACGCAAGAAACAGTCCCTTCTCTCCTATCCTTTAACCAGGTGGCAAAAATGTGAACATTCAGAGAAACTTTGGCCGAGTCTTTTTTGAAATGCTTTACGATCCTCACATGGCCTTTCTTTTTTCAAGTTCCTATTCTCTGTGATTTCAATGGGGCTACATGTACCTTTGGAATTTTCAGACTTTGAGGAAACATCTGAGGGAATCTGTGCCACCTGTAATGTGTTTGGGAGGGGGTTCAAATAATGTCCCTTACCAATTGCCTTATTCCCCGATTTACTTTGTGTCAGTTCACACAGCCCAGTGCCTCCTGCAGGCATTGTATTGCTAGGTTTTAAAAGCTAATATGAGTAAATGTTGTGACGATCGCTCTGCTCTCTCAAATGAACCAGTGTCATTAGAAACGCCACAGTTTGCTCGAGAACAAAAAAAAGTCAGCTAGTGTCAAACTGAAAAAAAAAGAGCGTGGATAATTTGAAGGTTTTCCAGTGCCAGCACTGGGCGTTCCACTGGCTGTAGTGTTGCCGGATCTAACTTTAGACCGTAGACAATGTCGCTGATGCACGTGCATGCACCAGGGAAACAACGTCGGTAATTTCAAGGTACCACCCATCCCCCCAAAATAGTTATGTTGAACGGCAGCATTGGTGCTATTTAAAGCGAGAAAACAAGAGGAGCATTTATGTTGAGGGGAATGATGAGCCACACTTATCCTGGATTCTTCGGGTCGTACGGTACCTGTTGATGATCTCTCCATACTCAACCCCCGGTCTGCCTTAAACCCCCCCTTCCTTTAAAAACTGTCTTCCTTTCTCCTGTCTCGAGTCACAAGTCACTGCCGGTGTTTCTCGTCAGGAGTTTCCTCTTCTCCAGGTCGTCCCTCCCGAGACTTTCTTCTCCTGGATGTTTGTCTTTGCTCCGGGTAGATAATAACTGGAGCAGGGAGGCAGGCTTCTTCATGTCGCCCGTCATGATGTGAATGCGATGTTTGTTACCGTATAATTCAGTCCAATCACATTGATAGGGACATTATATGTGTGCGAATGTACATGTAGGTTAGCAGTGTTGGGGATAGGTGCGAGTCACTTTGATAAAGCATTTGTTTGGTTTTTTTCCCTTCCTGGCTGTCGATTAAACCTGCCAGCACAAGGCAGAGCGGCTTTCCATTTTTGTACCACTTCCAGCAGAGTTGGCGGTAGCACATGTATCCCCACAACACTCTAGAAATGTATCGAATATTACATTTTGAATCAGTGTATTCCCTGTGTTTGCCTTCAATGAATGCCATGTGTAGTGAGTAACTGTGTTTTCAGAAATAATGCACATAACTTCAAGTTGACAACCCAGATGTCAAGTGACTACATTGCATGGGTCAATGTGGAAGATTGTTTTAACCCTCTTTAGAAATGACACCCGTCAATTTCTTCCTTAGTGTTAAATGCGTCTATGATCTTTTCACCTGTCTCATCATAGTGGGATTGTATGGGACTTAATTTTTCTGTGACACAAAAACGCAAGGCTTGTTTTGATGCACGTACCGTAGCACAGAGTTCCACAGATTGATTTTTGTTCATTACAGCCTAAAGCCAAGGGAAAGAAGAAAGTACTTGGACTGGATGAAATCAAAGGAAAGATTAAAGAGGTGAGTGGCATGTTTGCTAGATTCATGTATGTCCGATCTGAAGTTGTCCATTCAGGGTGCCAGACTACTACCGTGCATGTAGCGCCCTCCCATGTCCTGTTTTAGGTACTGCCCCTCTCACTTTCTGTCTACCAAAGTATTTTGGGATGTGCTTGTAACATAGTGGTCAATCTTTGAAAAAAAACTAATGTGCTATTTTTTTAATTTGCCGATTCCTTGATCTCCAGATTTTATCAACTGAGGAGACAATGCCATTCAGTGTGTCCCCTAGAGCTTTCCCCACCCTTCCCCTATCCCACTATCGAAGGCGTGATTGAGACCAGTATTATGCCATGGTGTCAGCCTGGGCGTTTTCCTCTGTCACTAAAGCTGTTATCTCATTAGGTAATACGGTTAGCTGGTATTACCCGCTCGTGACTCACACCAATGCAGGTCCTTGTCCTTGGCTTCCATCTTCACGAAATTGGAGGGGGCTGGAGTCTTGGGGAGGGGATCATTCCAAAGAGAGAAAGACAACAATGGGATCCTGTGGTAGCCGAAGTTGAGTCCAACTATGTCTTCAGTCACAAAATGAAGCTTGGATATTCTGTTGCAGGATTTGATCATCATCTGGACTGTTCAATTTTTTTTCATTTGGAATTCATTTCTAATGTAGCCAATTTGTGTACTCTCAAAATTTAAACAGCTTACTTGTTCAGTCTACCAAGACTGACATCAACCGATAGGCTTTAAAGTAAAATAACTCCAAAGTTGGTGTTCAAACTTCCGAGCCACAATTTGGACACAGGCCAGTGCTGCCTCTCTTGAATGCTTGAACTCTGAGAGGAAATAGGTTTCCGGGAGGATTTTTTTTTTGTTTTATTATTTCAATGTGATGTTGCTGGCACTGCTGATGATGGTGCAAGAAATGCTGCTGGGAGGGTCTCGGGAGAATTGATTGATCTGGCTGTAGTTTAGGAACCAATGGTTGTATCAATGTTTATGTCTGTGGAAAGCTCTGGTAATTGACTATACATTTACCAGTTCCGTTCGCCGTCAAATTGAAGGAGTCTGCTACTCTCTGTAAGAGGTTTCCCCCCCCTTTTTTTATTTTCACTTTTTATGTTGGTAAAGAGGTGGGATAGATTGAAGGAAATAACCAGGCTTCTCATTGCAGACGCCGAGGCGCATAATTCTAACAGATTGTAACTGGACAAGATTTTTTTTTCATGGGGCATTAAAGCTCGTTCGGCAGACTGTCTTATCTATCTCGTGACACTGTGATTTAAAGGGTAGCATGTGGTGGGAATGGGAGAGTGGATGTCACATAATGGACTGGAACAGTTTCGAGTTAGCTGAATTTGATGTTCCTTGCTTTACACAGATACACATGCACACGGATAAGAACAATATCAAATCATGCCCTACAGATTAACATTCAAACTAAACCAGAGACTTACAGGCACGTGTTGTCATCCATCAGAGACATTTCATAATATACACTATGTAAGAACTGATTATTATTATTATTCTTGCAAATGGGTCATTAGGGAGACATTTTGTGGT